GCCACTTTGTGTTACATAAGATTTTATTAAATATTTTTTTGAAATTATATTATTTTCTTTCGTCCTTTTTTCCCAGCTAAAAATAATTTATATGTACTTATATGCGAAATTATACCCGACTTACCGTAAAATCCAGCGTATAAAACGGACTTTTAACACAAAAAATAAGATTGAAATTTAGGGGTGCGTGTTATACGCCGGGTATGAAAAATGATAGCCTTAAAAATAAAAAAAAAAGAGATGAGCATAAAGCAATTCTAGAAGTATTCTACTTTTTCAAAAGCTGAGGATAATACCTCGAATAAATGACTTCAAAACAAAAGAGCATTGCATACATACATTTCAGTTTCTTTGCAAAAAATGGGTGCGTGTTATACAGCGAATATGCCTTAAAATTAAAAAATGCAGCTCGAAAGTAGAGATGCACATAATACGCCGGATTTCATGCTACGCGAATTGAACTATGCGGTTATCACACAGTCCTACCTATTGCGAAAGTTAGAAGTATTACTATATGTTATTTATTTGACACTAAATATTAAAAAAAATTATTATTTAATATGCTTTTGCAAAATTACGGTTACGAACGTAATCACCTTAAGAAATAAATTATTCTAATTGACTTAAATAACGATTAGGAAAAGGTAAAACTTTATTTATTAGATAAAGCATAAATTAAATATAATAAAATTGAGATAGAGAAATAGCGAAGAAGAATAATTTTATATGGAGCACATATTTATTTATCAGTTATATATTGAAAATAATTACTCCCGGTATTTTTTTACCTTAATAAGCGCAGCAACACTTAAAAAGAGACAGTAAAAAATATTTAAATAAAGCAATAATAAAATTATAACAATATAGCAATATTTTATATTAATTAAAACTGCATTTTATTACTTTTTATAGAGGTAATAAAAACGAAGAAAGGTGAATAAATTTTGACTTGCAAGATATTTCAAGGTAAGTCCTTAAGCAAATTGCCACTATGTCATTTATCAAATGTCGTTCTTAATTAAGTGATTTGAAGCAAACTGAAGGACAAATTATTTTCAAAAATAGAATTTCAAAGAAAATTAGCCTTCATTAGCTTAACTATTCAGCACCACTAAGAATTTTAATAGTTCGTCGTTATAGTGATAGAATGTGTTTTCTTTCTTAAAGCTACATTTTTTACTTCAAAATACGTCGAAATTAATTCACTTTTTGCTTTTCCTTTTCAAAACAAATTATTTTACAAAAGTAATCCTTGCTTCTATTTTTGTGTTTGTTTTTGGATTCTAAATGAATTTGCAACTAACTTTAAAACAAGAAAGAAAGACTCATTTCCAAAATGTTTATATAATGAGAGTAAAATTAACATTTAATGTATAAAAATGTGCAGAAACGTAAAACAGAAAGTTCGATTACTTTGATAAATGGTTTAAGTGGGACTCTGACTCCTTAGAAAATAAATACTACTTTTTAAATTGTATGAAATCAGAGAAATATTATTTTGGAAAATTTTTAAGCCAATGAAAATGTTCCCAAACTTGTTCCATATTTATAGAATAATGGTATTAAACTAATTTTTAAGTTATTTCTTATGCATTTTTTAATAAAAAATGAACCAAAAAGAATACATAATAACCCAAAAAACTAGTTTTTAAGAGAATATTTGACGCTGATTCCTAGCTATTTTAGTTAAGCCTAACAATTTAAATTGTATTCATCATGTGTTCATATTAATAACACAAATTAGTTTTTCATTCGTTTAGAAATATATCGTTTGGTTAGTACATAACAGGTCTCGTGAGGGAAATATAAAATGATTATAATCTTTTTTTTAATCAATAAAGTGTGTGCTTTTAAGCATTCTTCAATAATTTATTTTTTATTTTATCTATTCCTGCTACAACACAATGGCTCTAATATCTATTTTGTATTAAAAAGTAAAATAAAAAGAAAAGAGTAGAGATAATAAAAAAGAACGAAAATATAGGAATTTTTCTCAATCAAAAATACTCTACATTTAAGACATGATTTCGAAAAGAATGGATATTTTGTAAACATTGAATTCAGAATAAAAAAGATTTGTCACTTTAAAAAAAACTTAAACACACGCACACACAATTAAGAAATTTTACCCCTTTACGATTTTTTATTATAATGTAACAGAAAAAAAGTAACTGTCATTCCTTGAAGATTCTGTGCGTATTTCAAATGGGTTACAATTAATTTCGTAAAAATGTCTTAGATTTTATACAGTATTTAAAATTTATAATCAATACAAATGCCAAAATGATAATGCCTATGAAAATTGTGCAAAATTGTATAGAGTTACTTTAACGACATGTGCAAGTCATTTACTTTACATGTAAAGAATTTATTTTTATCCATTTAATAATTTATATGAATTATTAGCGAAAAAAATATATTTTTATTGTTAGATTAATTAAGTTATTCTTAAAATTTTTAAGCCATTTAAATTCCTAACTTTTAAGTATCGATAATCCACTCAAAGAAATAAAATTTCAACGGATTTCTTAAATTTGAATCCGTTCCATCATAGCAAAATATGTATAAGAAGGCATTCAATACTGCGTAAGACTAGAAATCAGATTTCGTGTTTCGAATTTCGAATAACTCTGAAAACGAAAGAAATTTTTTTAAAAAAACCGAAAAAATACCCCATTTTTATAGTTTTTATAAGAATTAATCTTTTATCGAACAAATGTCAACTTTTTTCGATGACATTAAAAAACTTTTACGTTGGCATTCTTCTATGGCTTAAAACCTAAATTTTCATAATAATAAGAGTTTTCCAACGTTAACATATTTTTATATATCTTTATATATTTTTCCCTTCTCATTCCATTGCTTAAAATGCAGTGTAAGGCCTCTTTGAGTCAAGTATAATAGAAATATGCACCAAAACATTCAGCAAATACCTGCTCATCCAACTAGGAATTGAAAAACCTTTAATAGTGAGATTTTGCATAAAGATAACATTAAATAATATATATACTCTTTTTTCTCACATCTTAATAATCTTATTTTAAAGGTTAGTTGTACTCAAAAATACATTTATTTGTACAACTAATACACCCGCTCTTTTTTACACGGTATCGTGTAAAAAAAGTGTGTGCGTACTTATGTACGCACGTAAGAAGTTTTACTTCTTTGGCGTACCAGGATTAAAATATTTCGAAAAATCTTGAGCAGAGCAAGCTGGGCCAAGGATGAAAGGCAGTCACGGGCAGAGTTGAACGATACTAACCTTCAGTCAATCGGACCTGCCAAACCAGAGATAATCACGATTTAAATAAATTCAAACACCCTTCGCACAGGAACAATAAGACCAACAACATGGGGGGTCGGTAGGCTTTACCTGGAGTTGAGTTGAACCGAATGTGACACCTGAGACCTCACATTGAATGTCTCGGCGGGAAGAATCGTTCCTCAGAAAATTAAGACATCTGCCTGAAGAGTCCCCGAGTTATGGTCATTTTAAAATAATTAAAACATTTAAAACAATTAAATAAAATAGAAGCAGGGCACCCAGCAACTCGAAACTGGCCTGGTTGTGAGAAAAACACAAAAGAAATCCATTAGATCCAGTCCAGAATCTGTAGTTGCAAATGGGGCGGTGCTAGCTTGGGAAAAGGAAACGAAACTAACTCCCCCTGGGTTTACAACAGTGACGTAAATGGTCACGTAAATCCCAGCAATATACAGAGTAGTAAGTGATCCCAAAGTTTCATCCTTCTATCTCTGTAATATCGTTACGTCATCAAAAGATTGAACCCCATAGGAATAACATGGGGATTCTAATTTTACAACAAAAACGCTCCTTCCCCTAAGCCCACTGTCTACACACAAATTATAACAGATGAAACAGCTCAACGAGGAGAACCTATGGTCTAAATTTTATTAACGAATCTCCAAATTCCTCGGAGTTATGCGGGATTTTAAAACAATTATAACTTTAAAATAATTTTAAAATGTTAAATATAGGTGAAGAAATGGGGCTATGGTCCTGAAAAAAAATATCTAGGGTGCTCATAGAAAGAACAAGCGAATCCAGCCGTTGCGGTTGACCAAGGTGGCATAGGATTCAAGTTTTTTCAGGGGAAGCCCTGTAGGAGAGGGAGGGGACGAATTCCACGTAACCAATCTCGATTGCTTGGGGGATGAAATTTTTTCCAGTCCCCATAGGATTAAAATGGGAGTATGATGACTGGATGGCTCTCAACGAGTGGAACAGTTGGTTCAAATCTCAAGTCCTAGACTCGAATAGGAGCCAAGATATCGTGAATTTAAACAAATTAAAAAAGTTTAAGACAATTAAAAGCTGTGGAAGAAATAGCCCTATGAGCACATGAAATTATAATAACTGGAAGAGCGGATAGAGAGGGATCGAATGAGCCAGGTCCGAATGGACCGTGATGCTCGGGGGCCGAGATATTGGCCAAAAAGCTGTAGAAGGAAATATTGCGTCCCAACAGATATGGTTTATAAAAATAGCTTTTATGATCCTCCAAATATCAGTCCCATAGCACCAAAAAAAGTGGCATGTTAAAATATTATAAAACGGAGTGCGCGCGCATCAGTGTCTTGAAGGTATGCCCGCGCATCCGTGACGGTGTGAGCGCGCATCGTAAAAATTTACCCTCATCCTTTTTCCCTAACTCTCAAAAAGAAGTATAACTAATATAGTAAAGAAGTATGATCTGTCCCATTCTGTATATTTTTAGGCAAAGCATTTTCGTACCCCTTCCTACGGAACGCAAAGCAAAGGTTCGCTCACACGGGGTGTATAGCTCAGTGGTAGAGCATTCGTCTGCAGATTGAGAGGTCCCCGGTTCAAACCCGGATTCCCTCTTCTTCAGGGAAGTGAAGGAAGATATTTTTTGAGAATTTTGAAGGAGGGAATTATCTGTCCCATTCTGTATATTTCTAGACAAAGCATTTTCTTATCCGTCCCTACAGAACGCAAAGCAAAGGATCTCAGACGCGGGAGTATAGCTCAGTGGTAGAGTATTCGACTGCAGCTCGAGAGGTCTTCGGTTCAAACCTGGGTGCCCTCTTTCTTCAGTGAAGAGAAATATATATTTTTCTGAGAATTTTGAAAGTGGGAATGAGATCTGTGTCTATTCTGTATATTTCTAGACAAAGCATGTTCGCATCCGTGACGGTGTGGGCGCGCATCTTAAAAAGTTACCTTCTTCCTAAACGCCCAATAAGAAGTATGACTTCAAAAAATACACTCGACATATGGTAAATTAGGGGATACGTTTGTTAATTTTAAAAAATCGTGTAAAATAAAAAAACTCTAAATATTTTCTCAAAAAAAACCATACTAAAAAGGTAATAAAATCCATATTACAGATTTATAAAGCAAAAACAATATATCTTTATTACAAAAAAAATTTAATTAGCGAACATTAAAAATTCAGTCTATAAGTATCTACAACATATAAAAATTAAAATTGAAATTATGAATAAAGGACTGTTAACTAACAACTATTCATAGTTACTTGATAACAAGAGCGCACAGTTATTACGAACCGGATCAACTATGCTGTCATAAGCAGATGGATATGTCTAGCGCAGTGCTTATCTAACTTTCAATATTTGCGACCCAATTTTTAATCATAGTATTCATCTTGCACCCCCTCCCCTCACAATATTAATTTACTGAATTCAATATAATATACTACGACATTAAAGCTACAATACGATCTTAATCATAAACCGTACTAATTATCAAGATAAGTATTAGAATTTGTATATGTTACATTTTTAAGTAATAGATATTTTAAGAAAGATACTTTTAAGTAATGGGATCAGTGCTATGATAGTACAGTAGTTTATTGGATAGGTATTATGTTGTTAGTATTGATATAAATTCATTAAGAAATACACTGGCCTCAAAAGTTAAGGTACAACATGTTTTTCGAAGCTCACCATAAAAAAAATGGCAGTAACAATAAAATGCATAGTTTACATGAATGATAATAACGAACTGTAAAAACATTAATGCAAAAACGATTGCTACCACTGTTATTTTATAGAAAAGAACGTATATTTATGAGTGAGAGAAAATATGCAAATATCAAGCTTTCGTACTTTTTGTGTAAGTTGTGTTGATTTTCAACAGTTGTTGGCAGTTTCGGTGACAATAGTCAATAGAGTTTAGAAAATGTCTCAGGAGACGTCGTTTACCCAATTCGTTAAGGTGGCGGGCAGTTGGATGGATGGAAATGGGATTGTCGCAGGCTGATGCTGCTAGACGTCTCAATGTGTCTCGTAGTGTTGTTCAGCGACTTTGGGATCAATACCAATCCGAAGATTCTGTGTCAGAAGACCTGTTCCAGGCCGACCACAAGCTACAACACCTGCGACCGTTTTTTAGCTCTTTACGAAGGAGAAGAACCACTACTGTGCCGCAGCTCGTTGCAGACCACTTTCAAGCATCAGGAAGAAGAATCTCCGCTACTACGGTGCGAAATCGTCTTCACAATGCAGGTCTGTATGCAAGAAGACCAGTTGTGTGCGTTCCCCTCAACGGACGACAGCGAAGGGACCCACCGCTTATGCTGGGCAAGAAACATGTTTCTTGGACGCAGCAACAATGGGCTTCTGTGCTGTTCACAGACGAGTCCAGTTTACAATGGAGAGTGATTCAGGGCGTCTACTGATCTGGAGGGAACAGCGCACTAGATACCATCAATCCAACACTGTTGAAATACACAGTTATAGAGGTGGTGGAATCTGGTTTGGGCAGGGATCTCGCTCGGTGGCCACACTGACCTGCATGTGTTCCATGGAGGAACCGTAACTGGTCTTAGATATCGGGATGAGATCCTTGATCCATATGTCCGCCCATATGCTGCTGCTATTGGTAACGACTTCATTCTGATGGATGATTAGCTCGGATTGTAGAGTATCTGGAGGATCACGGTTTGGAACGAATGGAATGGCCAGCTCGGTCTCCAGACCTGAATCCGATAGAACATCTTTGGGACTATCTTGGCAGAGAGGTTGCTGCTTTAAATCCTCCTCCAAGGTCGTTACATGAGCTGAAACAAGGCTTACTCTGTGTCTGGTATTCGCTTCCTATGATAATAAACAGCATGGGAAATCGATGCCGCCAATGCATTCAAGTTAGAGGTGGACACATTCCTTATTAGAACCCATTTTGTATTGTTTTTATGCCATTTTACCACATAACACTGTGATGTGCTGTTTTTCTCAAGAATGGACTTTTCCACAGAGATTGCTTTTTTTTTGTTATAAATCGTTTTTGCAATACACTTATACAAATTTCTATGACGCATTCAATAAAAAACTTTTTTAATGCACATATCCTCCAAATTTTTGTTTCTACATTCATTCATTTGCAAATTAGACACAAAAAAATTGTACCTTAACTTTTTGAGGCCAGTGTACATTGTGCAGTACTATGTGTATGTTATTTATAATTATATATTATATCAGAGTAAATGTGTATTTTTTTTTTTATTATGTCAGAATGTATATTTTTTTGCTTCCATATAACTAATAACTTTTTAAATAACTTTTTATTTTCGATTTTTTTTAAAAGCTCGTGCCTCCTTGTAGGGTTATCCCGCACCCCTAGAAGGTGCGCTCCACAATTTGAGAAACACTGGTCCAGCACAACTGTCGGTTTTGATTTAAATGAAGAATTTCGTTCGTTATTATTGACCTCGGTTATTTTTTACTATAACAAAGTCTGTTATTAGCGGCAGTAATTTGTTTAAGGAGGGGGGTCTCAAGTTGCTTATATTATTCTTGATATCCTGCTACACAAAACTTATGATTACGTAAAATTTCAATGCACACTCTATTTTAGGGTCATGAGTAAGAAAATATTGTTCCATACTTGTAACAATTGTCAAGCCCTCGCCAATTAAATCAGCTGTTAATATTTGAAATTCACATTCGACATCGTCATAATCGACTTATAATAACAAATTGCCCTAAATTCGATCAAATGGTTCTCATACAAAGGGCACGAATCTCCAAATTTTTGTGGAATTCATGCTAAAATAAAAAATTTGCTTTAAAATTAAACTCGTTTTATTCGTATATATCGTGTTATTTCAAAATCGTGTAAAAAATAGATGGGTGTATGTTTATTAAAATAATGCTTCCTCATTATGTGAAACTTAACTCTCTTAGGAAATGCTATTTCAATTAAAAAGTAATTGAAACTCTTTTCGGTAAACAAAACGAGTTATTAAGAGCAATATTACTTACTATAAAGGCGTCTCCTTCAGGCTGTAAAAAAGTAAATTATCAGATTATACATTGAGAAATAACAATATATTTTACAAATATTTTTTAAAACATTTTATATTATGCTCATGACTTCTCTAGCCATTGAAAACACTTGTCTAGCTATTGAAAGCACTTGTCTAGCTATTGAAAGTACTTGTCTAGCTATTGAAAACACTCGTCTAGCTATTTTTTTAATAAATTTATTTGCAAACTCCTCATGTTCCACATTGCATAACGTGAGGCTTACAGACGTAAGTGGTAACATCATTCTAAAATTTAAAACAAAATTACAAATACGTTTAAGAACAAATATGAAATAAAAGGATGGGAGGTAAATACACAAATATAAAGAAAGGGAGGTACCTCTATAAAACTTTAAAAATCTACACAGTAAACAAATTTTTTTAAGACATTAAGGCTTTCAGTACAATTGATCAACAAAGACAAAACAGGTGACCAGGAAATATCTAAACATTTCAACTCATTTTTTAATTTTTTTTTTCTTTTACAAAAATATAGTTACAATACAACAAGACATGTTCCGTGGTTTCAGCATCCAGACCACAAGAACAAATATCATTACTAATTCTATTTAGTCATTGAAAACATTTGTCTAGCTATTGAAAACACTTTTCTAGCATACATCGTCGGTTAACGTCATGCTGTCTACATAAGGGCAGAAATCGGTTCCGTCCAACTGTTGTTACACTCGATCGACCTACTACATGTCTATAAACACATCCAAAGGTTTGATAGCTTTTCGATAGTTTTAAAATTCAGAACCGAGCAACATTTAGTAAACTATACGTAACATTCACTTTATCCACTTTCTAAAAACACAATGATTTTTCCTTTTTAAAACAACTTTATTTGTTTTCTTTGAGTCATAATCAATACCTTTGCTGCAAGGGAAATAAACACGAGATCATTAATTACACAGACAACCAGAATATCAAATAAACATTCACATCATTTTATTTGTAGCAAATGTTGATGTCATCCAATTGCATCACTGACATTAGATTTATATATATATCATTGGTTAAAATGCACATGCAGGCACTGTTTCAGACTTTTCTGTTACATTCACCCTTTGGTTTATACAACTTCTCAATTTTTCTGCCAAGACACGCATAAATGTATACATAGGTTGTTCTTAATTTATATATAATGCTACGTTTGGAATGATAGATTTACTGAACAAGCAAAAATTGCCTTACAATCCATGGTCTGAACTCAAGCGGCAAATTGCAAGAGAGCGATATACTGCAACGATAAATGATGAAGAACGAGACATTGAAAAACAGAATTAAGAAAAAAAGACACAAATGAAATTTTTTTAAATCTCCTTCAACAAAAATTCCTTATCACACCAACTGATTAAAAGGCAGGCTTTACACAATGATTTGTGTGCATTGGCGAACATATCAGGAATCTCTCACATAATATCAGCAGCTGTAGATATCTGGGCAACAAGGACTTAGCCAAAACTAATGGGACTTGTAAGGTGGATAAAGCTCTTCATACGACCTCAGACAAAAAATATTATGCTAGGTAAATCCTGTGATTTGGTAGTCAGTTCTTTCGACTGCCATGACCAAAGCATTGCATATGACCTATGCCATCCACGATGTTCCTCGCATCTATACCGCAATGGACAGATAGCCCCCACCCCCGCGTGTTGGTACTTCATGCATCATGAGATGTCTTTTGCTAAAGATTACAACAGTTCTAGCAACATCATTTGCTAAAACCTTAATCATGAATGTGCATCCAAACATCT